TTTGGCTTTAAGAGTCATTTTTTTGTTATGTCACATTGTATCAAAATCAACATCCTTTCTGTTAAGCATAACAATTTTGAGTAAGAACGTTGCTTTTATCGTACCACAGTTTATTACACATTCATATTTGCCTTGAGGTAAAATTTCAGATTATTATTCTTGGATCCACTTTCATTTAATATACTCAGATTCATTCTCCATCTCTGACACCAGCTAGTGAAAGTTCATCAAAATCTCCTACTTGAAGATAATATCCTCTGGTTTCTCAGAATGCATGACAGAGAATAAGATAAAATGATTGCGCTTCACCAAAGGACACTGTACAAGACAGCTTGAGATAGAACTATGTTTATGGATACCAAGACCTTTTAGGACCAGGGCTTTGCAAGCATAGTGAGTGAACTGCTATAATTACAAAAACTGAAACTATTTCTTTTGGAAATTGAGTTTACTCATGAAGAAGGCAAAAAGAGAAGCCACGACAATGGGAAAACCGATGAGAACAGACGCTACAAGAGCCAATGAGTCATGTCTGTAACCAAAGTAATCCTCCAGGAAAGCTGAAACTCTCTTCTTCTCACCAAATGCTATTATCTCTTTATCAACATCTCCGTACTGCGAACTCAGTAAGCCTTCCAACACCCACGATGTCGGGCTCAAGTAGTACATCCATATCCACCATTTTGGAATTTTCTGTGGTAAAAAGATTTTACATTTTTCGTGTTCACAAGTCTGAAACTTGATTTCAACCCAAGGCACAAAAATATACTTCTTTATACATACATTTCATTCAGTGAAGCAATATTTTGAGCTAGATAGACCTAATATAGCTTCAGTCTCTATAAGAACACAGGTTTCATAGCACATTTCATACTTCAACCCTAGGCACAAAAATATCTTTCTTTATATACATGTTATACAGTTTCATTCAATGGACCAACGTTTCGAGTTAGATAGACCTAACATAGCTTGCTATTTCATAATAACACAAACATTCCATGGCACATACTTCAGGTATTCGCTATATGTGAAATGTGAAAATGGTATGAGAGAGAAGGGGAGTTACCTGTTTCGGAATGGTAAAGCCAGCAAACAGATTTACCATGGAGAAAAAAGTCGTTCGTAGAGTCAATGCCATGTGGATGTTAGGCGTCAAAGCAACCATAAGCATCCCACAGTAATTGAAGATAAGCAACGAGCAAAAAATGCTGTACCAGCTCCAAAACATTTTGTAGACTGAAATATGGTAACCAATCATTGGATAGACGATTATAGTACACAGAAGGGACTGGAGTAGTGAGTATGGAATCTCAACTAGCACCTGCAAAGCCATAAAAGGAATCAACTCTGGATCCTATCCTACAAGAGTATTGGAATCTAATAATAGGTGTGGAAGCCTAGGCAATTTGCTATAAGATATATTTAGTAAAAGTTGATAAGAACATTTTGAACCTGAGAAAATGAATACGCCCATGAGGAATACATCCGAGCAAACCTTTCACGGTAGAACACATTGCGTTCGTTTGCAATGAAGTTCATCACTGTTGCACAGTTGTTTATTCCCGAGAAGATTACTAGAGTGTACATCGAGCCAAATATGCTGAAAAGATCTTGCTGATTATTTCTGCAAAGTGAAAAAGAAACAACAGACTGATTAATAGAATGTCATTTGTGGAGACTCGCAACCATAGAATGTCAAAAGTCAGGATTTGCAGGAGCAGAGACTTACATGTCCTTAGCTTTTTGCCAGAAGAGAAGGCCACATAACGTAGAGTTGAGAAACATGTAGACTATGCGAGTAAGATTGTGAGAAGGGTTTCTCCAATACGAGCATTGTTGTTTCCAAAGGCAAGCCTTTAGTTGCCCCCAACCTGTTTGGGAAAAACGCGAAGGAAAGCTTAAAGCTTCTGATCCCAAAGACGCAGAACTCAGTTGCTCAACCAACATTTTGTTCTCCCTGCAATAAAAAGACCGAACAAAACAACACTGAGAACACTAGTTTTTATGGACGGATGCAAAACATTATGAGGATTGCTGCACAAAGACTTACTTGTACAGAGTTGAATCCTTATATGCTTGTGCAAAATCCATTCCAAGTTTTTCCTCTGTATATTTGCAAGTAATATCTAACATCCAGGTGGCTGGATTACAATTCTTTTCGATCTTTGGAACTCCAGAGATTCTCTGTTAATAAATAGTTATTTCATGAAATCCAAAACGTAGCCGAGGATGAAACCATTCTAGTATTGTTGAGAAATTGACCTCAAAGTATTCGATAACTTTACTTGAATGTTTTCCAAGAGGACCATAGTAGACAAGCTGTCCCCCATTTTTCATTAGGATAAGCTGCAATCATAGGAATAAGAAGCTGCAGAGGAAGTTTAGATTATGCGGTAAGAATCAACTGTTTTTAGCCGTTTTACCTCATCAAATGTCTCGAAGATATCAATGCTCGGCTGGTGGATCGTGCAAACAACAGTTCTCCCAGTCTCAGCAACATTTTTCACAGCTCTCATAACAATGGCGGCGGCTCTTGCGTCTAGCCCTGTGGTTGGTTCATCCATAAATATGATGGAAGGGTTAGCAACAAGCTCCACAGCTATTGTCAGCCTTTTGCGTTGTTCTGTGGATAAACCACTAACTCCTGGAAGTCCCACCATGGAATATTTAATATCCTCAAGCTCAACTGTCTCAAGAACTTCGTTGACGAGTTCCTGAAGCCAGATCCAGATTATATATATTGTCAGATTAAAATGCTACCAATGCCTTGTTGTGGATTCTTTTCCGGGATAGTGTGATTACTTACATTCTTGATCTTTGAATCGATGTTATAGGGAAGTCGAAGCCAAGCTGAGTATTTCAAAGACTCTTCTACCGTTATATGAGGAGAATGAATATCAAACTGTTCACAGTAACCTGATACTCGTGCAAATGTTTCTTGAACCTTAGGATATCCTCCAACTCGGATTTCTCCTTTGATGTCACCACGGGTTTTCCTTCCAGAAAGGACATCAAGAAGAGTCGTTTTACCAGCTCCACTGACACCCATAAGAGATGTGAGAACTCCAGGCTTCAATGCTCCTGTGACATCAGAGAGAAGCTGCCGCTTCTTTCCCTAAGAGGGACATGAGATACATGTAAGCATCTGTTCTGCTTGAGAAAACATACCCAAAACAAAGTTTACCTGAGGAGTCTCAATATGATACTGCACGTTCTGAAATGTGACATTGAGGGGCTTGAAAGGCAATATGACTTTTCCTATCAAAATAGACCAAAAGATATTAAAGGATATCTTTGTCAGTCACAAACCAGTTAAAAACTGAAGAATATGGATTAGTTTATTAAAAAAAAATAAAGAAGAGATACCTGTTTTAGCTCGGGGCTTGCTTTCTGGACAGGGTTTAAAATCTTCTTCTGAGCACTGAATGTTCTTCCCATGAGAGACAATAGCACGTGATCTTTGTGGATCTTAACATGCAAGAGATGGTCTTGTCACTATTATAACGAATAACCACTTATAAAGTCATTTCCAGTGTCATATGTGGTGAACTTACTATTTAGATATGTCAGGGCCAATGCGTAAAGGACATTGAAGAACAATATAAACCCGATCAAAGCCCCAAATGCTATCCAATAAGAGTGACTTCCGAAATTTAGTCCACGGACATCTAACACTTGTTCCCCGGCCGAGGCATTGCCAGAGATTACCTATTGCAAAAGATAATGCAGATCAGCGAAACTAGAGTTGCTAGGTGAAAAAAAATGTGAAAGACTTCTGAAGTATTATATCACCTTGCTCCAACGTGGAGCGTAAAATTCATTTGCAGTTAGACCAATCTCAGCATATGACAATGGAGAAACCCAAAATCCCCATTCCAACCAAGCAGGCATGGACGCTGAAAGATAGAGCTTTGTTCGTAAACTAATCCTCACAAAGCATGTGGTTATGATTAACCCTAAAACTTACTTACAACTTACAATGTATATATTGATTAAAGAAAGTTACCGGAAACTTACATTTTGGAATAACGAAGCCTCCGAATGATGAGAGAACCAATACAGAGATAGCTCCGATGATTGAGGAAGCAACAACTGTGCGAAAGATTGCTGCTATGGCGCGAAACATTGATACACACGAAATGTTGAATGTAAATAAGATGAGGAACTGTCGGAAGAACCTGAAGGAGAGTAACACTTATTGTTAGAAACTCAAAATGTATTTGGATTTAGTTTCTCAAAAAAAAAGTTACTATACTTACCTTCCGACCTCGGGGCTGTAACCAATGGCATAATATGTCAGTAAAGTCCAGAGGAATGAGTCAAAAGCCGAAAGAGGTATCTTTAAGACAATTGAAGGGATTGCATAAGCCCAAGCAGGATAGAAATATAAATCTTTTTGTTTGCAGAACACTCCCATTCTAGAGAGAGTCAAAGTGAGCTCTGGAAGCCCATCAGCAAGAAGTCTAAACAGAGCAGTGAAGAGAGAACCCATAAGATAGTTCCCATGACGAGCATCCGTCGTATCTCCAGCTTGTAGAAAGACGGTCATTGTTACCAACGCATTGAAAACTAACTGCAGAAAGGAAAAGAGAAAAGGTTGAGCATAGAATGGTAAATGATGATGGAACCTTGGCAGAGTAAAATGAATGTTACCAGTCCAGATTTGAACAAGTAAATGAAAGAGTTGCGTTTCATCAAAAGATATTCTCTCCTCGAGCAAGCTTTAAGCATCTCCCATTTACCCAATGAGTATTTTCTATAACATAAACCATCCTTGCGAGACTGAGATTTATGAAACGGCGTAGCAATTTCTTCCTTTACCAAAACCCCAAAATTTGATTCTTGAAACTTCTCGACGAATGAATCAACAGATATGTAACTGTAGGGCTTGTCTTTGTGGCACCAATATTGTTCTTGATCTTTTTTAGACATAACCTGTTGCAGAAGCATGTAAAATGATTTAAGGTTCTAAATAGATATGGTCAATTTTATTCCCTTACCTCTTGGAGGAATTCAGCAAGGCCTTTCCTCTCTGGACACTTAAATCCACAATCTTCAAAGAATCTGCAGATATCAGCTCGGGGAGCATGGTAGATTATCTTTCCTTCGCCCATGAGAATCACATCGTCGAAAAGCTCAAACGTTTCTGGAGCAGGCTGAAGAAGTGAAACCAATATGGTGGCTCCAGCTATATGCGCCAACTGCTGGAGACAAGATACAATCTGGAACGTAGTTGAACTGTCTAAACCATTCGATATTTCATCCATGAACAGAGTCGTAGCTGGACCCACAACCAGTTCTCCTACAGTAGCCGACAGATGTTTTAAAAGCTCTGTTCGGACTACTGTGAATGGCTGTAAGAAAATGAAATTACCTGTTGTCAACCTCCTCTTTTGACCACCAGATATACCAGGCCTCGAGGCATCTCCAACTCGTGTATCTGCACAGATATCGAGTCCCAGGATCTGAAAAGTTGATTCGTGAGATTACGTTAGGGATAAATGGTCAAAAGCTTAAGTAAGCAACCATGGAAGCAGCATACCTTTAAGATATAGTCAGTTTGCATATTGTTTTCCAAACCTATAACAGATATTGCCTGTCACAGTAAAGGTAAAGGACAATTTGATATTTCTTTAGGCTTTTAAAGTGTTTCAAGAAGAATTGCAATCTTTCATTAGCTACCTTCATGTAAGCATCTATATCAGGATCTGGAACTATTCCTTTGAGTTTCTCCCTTCTACTGATCTCCTTCATAATTTCTGTTGAATCAACCATGGCTTGTCATCGTAAACTCAGTCCAGTAAATTAGAAAATATAAGAAATTTGGTTCTCACCCATACGACTTCCGATGCCCTGGCAACACGCCGAGAAGTCTAGCGTCTCTCTCACACTCATCTCTGGAATATGCAGATCGTTTTGACTTATATAACTCGATGTTTTCTCTGGGATAAACTCTGAAAGTAAGCAACCATTGTAACTTACTTCTCCTCCAACCTGTGAAGTGAAGACAACCCTTGTGATCTGTAAAAGGTTAGTTCAGAAGGCTTATGTATTTTTTCTATAGTCAAACCTTTACAGAAGGGGCAAGTCGTCCAGAAAGTGCCTGTAACAGAGTGGTTTTGCCACAACCAGGAGGACCGAGCAACAATGTCATTCTGAGAGAAGACCAATACATATTTTGAACACAGTGATAATAATATTTACAAGAAAAGAAACACTACACAAGATAGCCAATCAGCCTTCATTTCTTGTTCCTTGCAACATAAGTTATTAGGAAACTGCCTCTTGAATAAATTACCTTCCAGGCCTGACGATACCGCTCACGCCTTTCAAGATGCTTATCTTGATTTCTTTCTTCGAACAGATGAACTCCTATAACATCCATCAAGTTTAAGCACACAGACAAAGGACGTTCGGTTAAGAACATGGAGACGGAAACAGTATTCTATTTCCAGATTGATGTAGAAAACACATTTAATGGGACTTACAGATAGTATGCCCTTGATAGTATTCCAAAGAGTTGGGATAGGCTTTCCATGAACTACTTCACATTCCGCTTCAACAGAAAGGTCACTGAACCTCACTTCCACCGTTGGTACCTCTATACCAACCCTACAGTTATATGCGTTACAACAGATTAGAAGGTTGTGATATAAACAGGAACATACACAGATAACTATAACATGGCTTACTCATCGATTCTCTTCCTTATCTTTCTGAGTAAATGGAGGTTATCAGCCTGTATTTGTTTGACAAGCTTTTCAATCAACAAATGTCTCTCAGCAGCTTCAAGTTTAGTAACATCAATGACTCTCCCTTTATCCGAAGCTTCATCCCTTCTCTGAAAAAGAACAGTAGTAATCCTTTTATACGTTGGTAATCTCTCAACTGTAGCCCACTGCGACCGAAGCTCCTCCTTGTCAACGCCAACACCATTTCTAGAAGCAAACTCAGGTTGCAAAGACTGTGCCTTATCATCATCATCTGCACCTGTTTGAGCCATTGTCGGATAAAAGAGAAAAAAAAAAAGACAAAGGAACTTAACACCAAGGAGAAGCAAACATCACATGAAGAAGAAGTTGCTAAAGTCAGAGTCTCTGAATATATATAACTTTAACAAAACTCACGTATACATTAATATCACGCGAGCTTCACGTGTGAATACGTGATCTCATCCATAGAATCCGGTCTTGCACAGAGGAAAAAACTGCACAAAAGAATCAATAAACTAATAAAAATCTGGTAAGCTTTTGAAAACTCTGATTAAAGTAAAGAAAATGGAATCAAAGACGAAATATTTTCGACAATAGTCAACTCGTTAACAATGTGCGAACAGAATCAGAGTAGTCATACAGCCATGCAACTCAATGGGTTTCTCTGAGGCATTCCATCGAACACCGTGGCCACGCTTTGTTTGAATCAATGATACGATTTAGTAGGAAACTTCTATTTCCTGAGATAGTTTTTCTGCTAACCGAATCGAATCAAATCTGGAGTCAGAGACACGAGTGGAAAATGAGAAAAAATGCACATGCAATTTTCTTCAACACCACGTCCTCTCCACAGAGATCATCGTTATCACAAAACAACTTAGGTTCATGTCAGAGAGATTAATGAGTAGGTTTTAATTATTATTCAACGAGAAGCTCTTACCTTGCATTGCAATTTATTAAAAGGAACAATCCAGTCATTGGCTGACGCGTTTCTCTCTTACTCCCCAGACGCCGACATTGTGAAAATTCGTGCCGCTACAAATTTGCAACTTTTATTTTTGAAAATATATGAGAATTTTCCAAAAATTATCTATTTTCTATCTAATAATTCATCCACTCACCTTTTATATTTTAAGATACTAGCTTAAGAACACAGGGCAGGTCGAGTAGATTATTAATCTACGAAAATTATATAATAATTCATGATATATATATATATATAATAATACATTTTAAATTAAAAAGCTAAAATGAATTTATATAATAGAATAAAACTACGTCAATACTAATCTTGAATTATTTATTCGATCTATAACTTTTTAATTGAAATTGATTTAAGCAAAAAATTGATTTTAATTATCTATACTATTAAAGCAAAACTAGATTTTGACCCGCGCTTAGAAAGCACGGGTATTTGTTGTTGAGTAAAATTTGAGTGAAGTTATAATTTTTATTAGAAATAAATAATTTAAAATTTTAATATAATGTTTGAGTTTCAAATAGTGTTTTCATATCAATTTAGATTTGTTATCGAACCAACAGATCCAGTAATCTATATATAGTCCGGTTTCGATTTAATGAAACAAAACATGGTAAATGTACGGTAAAATATTCAAAAACCTTGCTATTAACCGCGACTGATACCGGTTGATCCGATAAAACATGAAAATCTGATAACATTTTTTTAAATATTTGATTAAATTACTTATATATTTTAAAATATTACATAAATTAAATAAATTTGTGATTCTTTATACTTTGATGAATTTGTTTTAGTATGTCATTCGAAGAAAGTGAAAACATAGTAGTAGAAAGAAAAATAAATTCCATTGATATGATAATATTAGTTTTTTTATTATGCACCTATTCTAAGTTTAATTTTATTTTTATTTTTATTTTACATTTAGAATTGATTTTATAAAAAAATTAGATATTTTTGAAGGTCAAAATTGTAAGTTAGTTATTTTGTGAAATATTAAGTTAGTTAGCAATCCATAAGTGTATGATATCTTGACTCGTAAATGGAATATTTGTAGAAATCTTAATATTTTTTTATAAAAAATCATAACTAAATATTTTTATATTTACTAACATATTGGTATAATCGTATAATGTTAAAAGTAAATTATGTTGCCAAACATATGAACTATGTAAAAAGATTATGTTCTAGGCTTAAAAACCAATTGACCCAAATTAATTCAAATCTATAATAGGTGAAATATATAAAACACAAAGATAAATTAGCTCGTGCACAAAATAACAGAAGATAAATTACCTCAGTTCAAATATATACTAACCACTCATCATGAGCCTCGCAAAGCAGCACCTTCAGAAGTCATCTTTCTTACCAAACCTTCTAGAGAGCCAAAGTGAGTTTCAATGGCGCCATCACGAGCTTCCTTTGGTGGCACTCCACAACCTTTCTGAAACTGTTAAAACATATACACCATTAAGCACAAAAAATTAATTGGAAAGATATAGAAAGAAATTCAATACAAACTCACGTTGATAAGAGCATGGTTCTTCTAAAAAATTGAGTAGTTCATGACCTGCAACAAAAGATATAAAAACCTATGAGTTTCATTTTCTTGAACAAAGAAAAACAAATATTCGCTTTCCCACCTTGTCTTGAGTAAACATTAAGGACGGATTCAAACCAAAACTTTAGTTAGACTAAATTTTGTTTACTGTCAATTATATATATCTTGTCCTCAGCTCAAGACTCAGCAGCCTTAAATACCTCCTAAACTAACTTCTGTTGCTGAACAAACTTTGAATCCACTCTGAGAAAGGTTTCATCTAACGATCAGTCTCTATATACTAATCATCAAAACCAGATTTATGTACTAACACAACTACATTAACAACTAAACCTCTTCTCAACTCGATTCATCAAACGGCCATAACTTTTATATAAATCTGCTATCCAAACAATTACAAATCAACCGCCCGAACAAAAAAGATCCGAAAATGAAACTAAGAAGACGTCAAAACACTCCTAAAAACCTCGCCTTTGAATCTGATGTCACTCTGCAAATTGACGTCGTACGTGTTGTCACTGGTGATGAATTTTCATATCTCACCACTAATCGACAGCTCCAACGCGTTTTAATCATAGGGAAGATTAAGAAGTGCTAAGTAAGGTCTGGATTCTTCGGAAAACCAGAAGCCTCGATGACGTCTCTGTCGGCTAGGGTTTTTCTACTCACTACCGAACGAAGATCATGAGATACGCAAACAAAATGATGGCCAAGAATAAAAAGGTTTTGTTATAGAAGAATGGTTAGACTAAATCATGAAAATCATTGTATAGAATTGGTTTATTCATACAAATCTCAAAGTCTCAATAACGAAATCCAGTTTCGTGCTGTGTGAAACAATAATCGTATAATTAAAGTAATTAATTGTGTATAGTTAGAGTAAATAATTGTTGGACCAAAAAATAATTAAATAATGAATAGGTCCAAACAACCTTGTATAAGTAGATTTTCTTAGACTCCTTCTCTTTTAATAGTATATATCCTTTTTAGGTTTCTGCCCCTGATCTTTCAAAGAAATTACAAAATTTTCCTCTTCCTTTTCTTTTAAAATTACAAAGCTTGCCTCTTCCTTTTTTTTAGTAATCATATGGGCTCAAATATTTTCTCTACGAAATGGGCAAAAAAATTTGAATCTGTCTAATGGACTATATCATCTCCAAATGTTATAATCCTATACCCTAAACTCTATTCAGATCCTAACCCTATGCAAACCTTATTGACAACATCAAACCCTAAGCTTATGTTATTTTGAGTTTCTGAAATCTTATTTATATAAACTAACACTAACTCATATAAGTTAAATCATAACACAAGATTTCTCGAATGAATAAACACTTTACACTAAATATAACATATACAGTACCAAAATAAAGCTGAATTTTCATCTTAATAAATCAATGTTCATCTATTTATTTTAATTCCGCTCCACCTACCTATATATTATTCAATCCAAGAAGATTAAAACTGATTTTGAACCATTGCGAAGAAAAAGATAAAAATAAACATTATTCTCATATGCTATCTTTATAAATCGAAATTATCTTTTAATACTGATGAATCTATATACTGTATTAATATTGGATACCAAATATATTCAAAGTATATTCTTTAAATCAATCCCATATTTCCGTTTTCAATTTTTAAACTCTAGATTATGGCAAGTTTACATAATATTAACCACATAATTATCAACCTTTCAATACCTATTAATACCTATAATAAATATAAAACTAAATATAGAAAACAAAGTTAATACTATTTAGCTACAATCAAACTATATTAATTGCGTGTTCTACAGTTAATATATCGGTTTCCAAATCAATAACTGAATTTTCATAGAATATCTAGTGAGATTTAAAGTATGGGCAAACTGACTTTTCCTAGAATATCTCGTGAGAATTAAAGTATGCAGCAAGTTTTCTTATAAACCTAGATTTCTATCTACCGCCTCTTATTATAAATAAGACCCACTCTTCCTAATCCAACTCCAAAACTGAGTACCGTTTTTTAAAGCTATGGGTTCCATAATTCAATATCGACAATTTACGTGATGTTAAGCCTTTCAAAACATCATGGAGAGTTCAACTGAAATTTCTTCATACCTGGAATTCATTTCATCCACTCTTTGGTGCTTCAGTTGAGATGGTGTTATCTGATGAAAATGTATGTCATATTCTTCACCTCTATTTTACCCAACCTATTTTGCATTGTATTAAGCGCTGAAATTCAAAATTTTTAATTGTTTTAGGGTGTCAAAATACAAGCCAGTTGCAAGAGCCCTTTCATTGAATATGCAGGGAAACACTGCCATGTGGGAGAATGGATAGTGATTAATAACTTTTCCCTCACTGCAGTGAGTGGATTAGACAGAGTGACCAACCATGTTTACAAGATGTCATTTCTGGTGTGTACTACGTTTAGTGAGTCAGCGCTACAATGTGATAACATGTTTCTCAACCTTCACGACTTTGCTAATATTCTTGGCGGTTCATGAAACAAGGGTTTTATTATTGGTACTTTATGATTTTTCTTCGTTTATCTTTACTATTTGTATACTATAAATACAAATGTAACATTTTTGGATATATGATAATATATGTGATTGGTGAAGTCATAGACTTCAGTGGGCTGGATGTTGTTCAGTGTCAAGGAAAAGAAATTAAAAAGTGGAGTTTACCTTAAGAGATCTAGTAAGTTTAAGTTTGCTTATTATTAATTTATTTTATTTGTGTATACTGATTTATATAGTT